GTCAATTCTATTACTATTTTTTATGTCCACACTTAAATTATTCCATAGTTTTACCCCACTTATGGAAATACAAAATCTTTTTTTGGTTGTACGTATAGCATGAATTTTTAAATTTAACTGACCCCTTAAATTGTATCCCCCTTCCCTTTCATTAAATAGTTTTTGAATTCCACCAGGTAATAAATTGTTCCTGGCTTTATACATAAACACAGCAGTCTTATATCTCACTAAATCGAAAAATTTTAACAATTTAGACTGTATGAAAGCTCCATTGGTGTGATCCCTATAACCCATCTTATGCACAATTCTTATCGCTCTTTTTTGTAATATATACAATGGTTGAAGTGAGCTTATGTATGTGTTTCCCCAGTTTTCAACGCCATACTCTAAGTATGGTAAAATCAATGAGGAATAAAAAATACCTAGTGCTTTCCCGTCCAAAATATATCTAACCCTTGCCAATATCGATATATTTTTTGCTATTTTGTACTGAATGTATCTGATATGAGATTTCCAGGAGAATTTGTCAACTATGACACCTAGAAATTTAATTTCATATACTCGTTCCAAAAGTTATTTAATGAAAGGGAAGGGGGCTATAATTTAAGGGGTCAGTTAAATCTAAAAGTTCATGCTATATGTACAACCAAAAAAAGATTTTGTATTTCTATAAGTGGGGTCAAATTATGGAATAAATTAAGTGTGGACATGAAAAACAGTACTAGAACTGAGGAGTTTAAATACAAATATAAATGTATGTGTCATTCAAGATATACGCAAGAATTAGAGATTTAATCAAGATTGCATGAAGGAAACCATCTATTTAAAGTTTTCTGTGTATTACTTGTTGGTCAAGAAGAGAATTTTACTATGTTTAGGTACTGCTTGCAGCCAATGATGCAGGAATTTTTTGTATAAGATGATGTTCTGGGGTAGGACTGGATAAGTCTGACTTCTTCCTACTCCATTCAAACATGTGCTGGGTATAAGCAAACTGATTCTGGATTAGCAGTGGTTGGCTTTGTGTAATCATGTGTGTGTGTTGATGTCATTTGTTCTGCATGTTTGAAAGAATAAATCAAATCAAATCAATGATGCTCACTGTGCACTGGTGCCCAGTGAATGATAAACAGCGCAGGGTGTGGTGGCAAGTATTTGTGACTGACTCTGTTGACCTCGCTGTCCTTTCTTTTCAGATACAATGGACAAAGTTGAAAACAAGCCCAATCTGCCTGGTAAGAACGATGTTATTTCTATCCTTGCACATTTTGTTAACACTAAGCTCATCCCTCATTTTTAAATCCAGAAATAACCCAACTGTGGCATGACTCTGGCATGGACCTGGTGTGTTATGTTATGGTTTTTTGGATACTGCTCTGTAGGTTGTGTTCTTGTGCTGTTATCATTTATAAATAATTGGCTATTTCTCTCTTTATCCTTGCTCAATGTTGTGCTGAGTATGAGTTTTCTCTTTTGTGCAGTTCTTGGATAAGGTGGAGGTGGTGATGAGGACGTGTGAAGAGCCTCGTCCGCCCAATGGCCCCTCTCCTATAGCTATCACAGCAGGCCAGAGGTAAGTCGACATACAGTATGTGATGCTGGATAATGTACTGCCTATATATGACTGGTCATGAACATTGCCATGGCTCCTGTTTATGCTGTGTGTCTACAGTGAGTACGGCTTTGCTGAGAAAGTGGTTGAGGGCATGTCTGTTAGGATCAACTCCATTATCATCAAGGTCCAGGCTCGTGCCTTCCATGCCTCCTTTGAACTCTGGCAGCTACAAGGCAACAGCCTCAACCCCAAATGGCAGCGCAGTGATCTCCGCTACACCCGTATCACTGACCCAAAGAGAGGAGAGGTATGGTGCAGCAGCAGGCTGAAATTCATTTGTGATGCCCAGCTGAGTGCAGAGTTGCACCACAGAAACTGTGTGTGCTCGTTAAGCCTGATGTAAACCATTTAATCAAACAAACTGTTACACAGATATAGCAAATTACTTTTCCTTGTCACAGTGGTGCCAGTTCTTCCATATAAATATTGGAACATGGTGTGTTTTTCTGTTTGATCCCAGCTGGATGGTGTCGTGTGTTTTATTGTTTCAGGTGTTGACATTCAAAGAAATTAACTGGCAGAGTCTGCGAATCGAGGCAGATGCTATCGAGAGTGATGACCAGGACCTGGGCAGCACCCCATTACGTCTCATCACCAACCAGGGACGGATTCGCATTGCTCTAAAACGCAGAGTAAGACTGTGTTTCTACAGTTCATGCACTCTTTTGTCATAGAGCTGGTTGAAGATCACAACCGTGAACTCACAAATGAGTTATGTTTAACTTTTCATTGTTCTGTCTAGATAAAGGACTGTAATGTGTTGGCATCCAAGCTGCTTTTCATTCTGGATGACCTGTTGTGGGTGCTGACAGACTCTCAACTCAAAGCTATCATCCATTATGCCAAATCTCTCAGTGAGGCCATGGAGAAATCAGCCCAGCAGAGGAAGAGCATGACTGCTGAATCGCTGCAGGTCCTCCCTTCTTCTACTGATGTTGTACATTTATTCAGTAGCCCCTCACCCTGACAACAACATAACTCAAGGAATTCTGACTCCAAATTGTTTGGCGCAAAACTATTTCTGCATAGGTTTTCTGTACATTATACTGTAGGTCAAACTTGTTTTTGATTCCCTGTGATATCTGTGTTGCAAAATAACTTTTCCTAATTTTGGTGTTTTTCCTCTTGTGTGGTTTAGACTGCTCCTCCATCTCCTGGCCTCCACAGCCTGTGGACAGAGCCCACACCTGCTCCTGCGGGCACCCCCAGCAACATGAGTCAATACTTTGATCTCTATGATGTCAGAGAGTCCTCTTACCACACCTCCATATCCCGCTTGGATTTACACATATGCAATGATAGCTCTTCAGTGGATGAAGGTTTGTTGGGAATAACTCAGCACTGACCAAAAGATATCAATGTGTAATCTTAATTCTGTTGTCGCTTGGGTATATTTATACTGGCAGGGGCAGTTTGATACCGAGTGAATTCTATGAAATATCGGCATATTTTATGTACAATTATGAATGTAACTGGGCTGCTTATTGTCACTACTGTATTGTGATCTAAACTATACTATACTAAACTATTCTGTATAAAGCCAGTGTTGACATTAATATACTGAATTACAGAGTATTTGATGGATAAATACTGTGAAGATGGTTTTTAAACAGCTATAATACGATATTCCATAGATGAGCCTCCCCCGCCGGGTTTACAAGGTGCCATGCAGCTGACCTTCAGGAAGCTGGGGTTTGACTACTACCCTGTCCACAGACCTGGTGAGCGTGATGACTGGTTCTTTTCTGCAACCACAGTTTAACTGCAGTTTGCCCAGAGGCATTGTCCTGCTCCCACTGAAAGCACAGCATTCATTCAGGGCTAGCTGTAGTCCATAAGGAGAAAGGAAAGGCCTCTTAAGAATTTACAGGGAATTATATTATGGATTTATTTGTTGTCACCTGGTTTTGAATTTATTTTAAGGCTAGACCAGCCCCCAGGTTTTTTCCACAGTCAATCTTAATGCTTTGTTGATTTATTTTTTTTCTGAAGTTTTGTCATTTTTGTTGTTCATTTTTAATCTTTTATCCCAAATTGTATTTGTAATTATTCACAGTCACAGCAATTATAACTACTATTGTAATTTCTAAATTAGTTTTATGTCTAGATTGATTGCTCAGTCATGACTGCCCTTTGATGCTGTAATACAGCTGATGGGTGCCGACACTGGGAGCGCCACAGTGTAGCCATGGAGGCTCAGGCCCAGTGGGCTGGGAAACTGCTGCAGGAGTACCAGAGGAGAGCAGAGGCCTCTGGGTTCCCAGGGCCACATACTGAGGTCCGCCAGCCAACAAAGGACTCCCCTGCAAAGGCAGTTAAAGGTGGGAGTGCAGAATCAACATAAAGATTTGTCATTTTATAGAAATGTGTTGTCTGTCCTCACCGCTGAACATGGACTGAAATATTAAGATGCAGTCATTCTTAATATAAGAAACAGTGGTGTTTTAAACAGTTCAATCTGTTGGCATGTTTAACTTTTGGGACAACATGAGTGAGAAGTCTTGAAAATGCTAAAACGACTTGCATGTTAACAAATGCATCTTTGTGACAACCAAGCAAACTCCATCTGCCGATGAAGAGCGTGTGCCACGATTGAAAGCTAGTAAGAGGGCCTCATGTTGGGATTGTGTTACACACTCAGCCAGATAAACAACTGAGATGCAATAAACAACACACAAAAAACAAATTAAAAAACATGATTACTTCTCCGTCACCATAACAAAATGTTACACAATTGTAATAATAAAGGCAAAAAAACTGACCTAGGGCTCAGTAACGATAACATTTTTGAGATTAGAAAGGCCAAATCCTAATCTGTAAAAAATCATTTTGAACATCAGTGCTCTTGCTTTTGTGGAAGAAAGTTGATCTAGTCACTAAGTGTGTACTCTCTTCTGCACACACTGCAGATGGACAGTGTAGTCCCAAGTTAAACTCCTGTGACAAAGAGCAGTCAAGCAGCAGGACCACTGTGACAACTTCTGCAGACTCATCGCTGAAGAGGCTGAGATCTAGCTGTGTAGTGGTCAGGATGGATGACGTGGACATTCACCAGGCAAGCTTTTATCATCTGCTGATTTGATTTACCTGCTCCAACAGATGCTTTACACATGGATGGACTTCTATCCCTCAGTGCACACAGTCAGCCACTACCTCTGACAAGGCTAGAAGTCACCTGAACATCTGAAGAATTTAGGCAGTGATAAGTGTTTTTTTTTTTACAGAACATTAGCTTCATGAAAAAGGCATGTCAAATTATCAGCCTTAGAGACATCGGTCTGACAGGCCTTACGAATGAAACTTACTCTCACATCAGCCATTGGATGTGTTTTATCAAACGGCTGATCTGATATATCAGATCTGTCACTTCACTTGGCTGCTCTGGTGCCTTTCATTTGATACTGAGAATTCCCCTACCACTTCAAATTAGGCTGGTTTTGCATTTTCTCTTGGGACATTTCACACCTCTCACCATAAAAGAACACAACAGTGCCAGGGTTATTTCAATTCCTATTTTCACAAATCTAGAGACACCCAGGGGAAATTCTGTACATCTGGGTCTTCACCTTCAATTCGTGACAGTCATTGATGGCCAGACTTCTGTTTTTGTGATAAAACCTTTTTAGCTTTGTTTACTCTTGTACCTTGAATGAAGAAGGTAAATGAAAAATAAAATCCCCTATTCATTAGTGATATTTCGACCATTCAGGTGTCCACAAGGGGCCATCAGAAGAAGAAGACCCAGTCTTTACTGTCCTGTAATCGTAAAGCTCTGGGTCTGCCAGATGACATACCAGCAGTTCATCTGCAGTTTACTGAATACTACCTTCCTGACAACCCCAGTTTATCAGGTATTGTGCAGCTCTGCCATGTTTTTGTGCATTGTGTTGTTGTTGAAATATGTGAGTCCTCTAAAATGTCTTTAACAGGAATTATCCCTACAGCACCTCCATAGGTTTATATTATGTGTACATTTACAGTACATGACAGAAACTTAACATACTAAGTAACTTGTACATAATATTTTCTGTTCATTATTTTTATGTATTGATGCAGTTCTTTATTGTTAGCATTTACTGTGAAAGTGGAATTTATTTTTTAGTTGCTTGTCAATGATCAGATTGGTTGTGTACCATGTCACAGTTGGAAACTAAGATAAAGAAAAATGTCCCCCATCAGAATCTCTTGCCTGTTTTCCTTTTTCCAGTGCCCACCTCAAACCTGTACGCCCAGTTAAACAGCCTCCAGCTGTGTGTGGACCCAGCCAGTGTGTTGTGGATCAGTCTGTTTTCCAGGGGTCTGCTGCACACTCTGGACCAGGTCAAAGCTTTCTACCATTTGCAAGACAGTAGCAAGGCTGAAGAGCATGTAGACATCCGAATGGATGCAGCTCAGCTCAAGGTGAATACATGTGGATGCAGCTCAGCTCAAGGTGAATACACAACTGCTTTTATAGTACATGTTAGTGCATTGTATTTTGTGTAGTCCATTACTTATCTCTGAAAGTTTTATAAATAGTTTTTGTTTCTTTTTTTAGCTAATAATCCCCTTGGATTCCTCCATACTGGACCATCCAGAGCGACCACAGTCCCTCTCTGTTACTATACCCCAGATGGTTCTCAGCAACACCCGTCACTGCCCCCATGGCTCCAGAGCTGATCTCTACAATATCTATGACAAATTCGCCAACTGCTCTTTCTTCAATTTCACACCACCCTGCCCTTACCCAAGAGATCTGAGTGCCTTTCATCCCATTCCCTCTGCCTTCCTCAATCACTCTCAGGAGACAGAGCCCCAGCCACTGGATAGGAGGCAGTTACGGTCCCAGGATGTCCTGTCTCTCAGTCTGTCCCGTGTAACCCTGGGTTTCGATGGAGCTCGGCGATACCCCAAAGGAAGAACCCAGCCTTTTGTTGAGCCTTTTGCCATGTCTGTGTGGATGTGTCAGCCCTCCTCCTTCAGTCCCAGCGCAGCCCACCAACCTTCTCTGGAACAGGAAGAGGCTTCGCTTGCCTCTGTCCATGTCCTTGCCTACACCGTCACACCAGTAAAGATGTGGCTCAACCACTATCAGTATGTAGCTCTGCTGCGGATGAAGGATGCCATGGCTCGGCTGGGGGCGGAATTGGGCCAGGATCTACAAGGTGTCAAACAACCAGAAGGCCAGAAGACAAAACCTACTAGTGTTTGTGTTGCCCTTATGGTGGACTCAGCAGAACTGGGTATCTTGTTGCCACCAGTCTGCTCAGAATCAGAGGAAGGGGTCTCCCACACTCCCGAGACAGACAGCCCCAGCATGTCAGACTCTGAGGCCTTCCCACCTCATCACTCTACAGATGTGGCCCAGGATGTCAGTGGGTTGGAAAATGGCATCTCCTCTATCAATTCAGCTGGCACTGCATTTGAGCAGGATGGGATGGTGGAGGAGGCATCTGAGGCAGTCGAAGAGGGGGCGGAGGCGGATGGTTTGACAACAAAGGAGGACGTTCCTGTCCTTTCACCACCCCTCTCACCTGGACACTCCCTTGTCCTCTCCCGTGATCCATCCACCTTCAGCCTGGAGGGTGAGCTGTCAAGCGCCATTAACGTCACCAAGGATGTGACCAAAGATGCCATTAGTGTCTCGCTGGACCTGACAAAAGGGGCATTTTCAATGACAAAAGACGCCTTTAGCATGCTGAGTCGTGGCTCGGGGATGAGCAAATTGTTTAGTCCACAGGCAAAGTAAGTGCTAGTGCCCTCCTGCTGGGCTGTTGGTTGTATGATGGTGTTGGTGTGTCTGGAACCCATAATGTGCACCACATGCCTTTACTGGCTGTTCATTAACAGCTCTGTGTGTTTATATGTGTGTGTGTGTGTGTGTGTGTGTGTGTGTGTGTTCATAGGGAACAGGTCCAGCATTCAGATGAGTCTTCTCCCTCTTTATCTGCCAGTCTGCGCCTCCAATCCATGAAGCAGTCACCTTCTCAGCAATCCATTGATAGTGCTATCCTGGATGGCAGCCTGCCAGATGAAAATGTCTTCTTGGATAGTGATGGCAGCGACAGTTTTGTGGTTCTCATGGACTCAGGTGTTAAAGATACTACCAGTTTTTCAAAGCCATTTCTCTGAATTAGGTGACATCTACTGTAAATTTGCATCATGTCTCCAGAGTCAGGTATGGAGTCAGCGCGTCCCAGCAACACTCCAGCAGGCAGCCGAGGCAGCCCAGCCCCAGGGACAGAGGGAGGTTCATCAGCTGACCTCAGCAGCTCCCTGTCCCAAAGTACTGAGGACATGTCTCAGGATATGGTGGGTCACTGTGTTTGTATAACAGATGTCATGAATAGGTTGAATTTATCAGTGGGGTTACATCGTTTTCCTGAACAAAAATAAATAATTAATACAAACTTGTCCTTAGTAATTTTAACAATGAAATTAAAATCTTCATTTCAAATCTAAATCTGCAGTGATTTAAAAGTGACTTCATTGTGATGTACTGTTGTTACAGTCCTCAGTGTTGTTGCTGATCCTGAGTGAAATGGCCTGTACCATAGAAATAAAGGGGGAAGACCAAGTCATGGCCGTGGAGACCCAGAATCTAAGTCCTGTACAGATGGGTAATGTCAAGGTGTCTGACCTGCTGGCTGGCCTTATGCAAGGTAACCTGGGTTACTGAAAATCTTTGATCAACAAACTCTTGAAATATCATTTCAGACCTTTTCTAATCACGTCTGCCTGTCTTAGCTAGTCATATTTTACTCGTTCTATATTTAGATTAGTATTTCAGAGGTTTCATAAAAAGAAAAAAAATGAGAAAATGTAAATCAGTCCCGCTCTGTCTTCTTTATCATCCTTGAAGTTTAGTTAAAGATCCCCTTCAGATATATTTTAAGACATAAAAACACAGAAAATTAATTGTGTGAATTTTTTTTTTTAAATAAAGGATAGGTTCAGGATTTTTCAAGTTAACCTTAAAACAATATTGATATGCTCATTTGTATGTGGGAATACAAATGACTAACTCTTCCTACTCTCCACATGACCCTGAAGGTTTCCACCTAGAACGTGACTACACTGCCGATAACGGGGCCAAATGCACTCCAAAGTTTGTCTAAGACTCAAATAAACTTTCAGCTGTTCCACTAAGCTAAGACAGCTTGAAAAATCCTGAACATGCCCTTTGAATTAAATACTTCAAAATTCTTAGTTACCTCTACTCCATCTCCCTCACTGAAAAATGCAGAATATGGTCAGATTTTTTTATTTCAAAAGTTGAACTGCTGACTGTAAGATGTCTTCCAGGGTCCTACACAAGTCCAGTTTTGCAAAACCGCACCCAAAAAGCTCTGTATCAGACCTGACCCATTACCCGCAATTACCTCTAAATGAATTCTGGACCTACAGTGGGTACGGAAAGTATTCAGACCCCCTTAAATTTTTCACTCTTTGTTATATTGCAGCCATATGCTAAAATCATTTAAGTTCATTTTTCCCTCATTAATGTACACACAGCACCCCATATTGACAGAAAAACACTGAATTTTTGACATTTTTGCAGATTTATTAAAAAAGAAAAACTGAAATATCACATGGTCATAAGTATTCAGACCCTTTGCTCAGTATTTAGTAGAAGCAGCCTTTTGAGCTAATACAGCCATGAGTCTTTTTGGGAATGATGCAACAAGTTTTTCACACCGGCACGTATATCTGTGGATTGATGCAGCACCTTAGTGACAATTTTGTATTCACCACTAGCTAGCTGACTTTAAGGTCAGGCTTTATAGGACATATCTGCACCATCTAACAAAGACTCACTCAGATATCATGTAAAATAATGACTTGTATCTAATCTCAGCAGCATCAAACCCACAAATCATCACAGGTTTGATGATTGGCAGCAGTGATGAGTTGAACAGTGTAATCACAACAGTGAACAGTTCTTTGTTTCAGTAGCTCCAGGTGGACCAGCCCAGACGCAGGACAGGCGGAGAAGGAGGGGCTCTCCAGCAGTGTGCATGCGAGCAGAAGTTGGCTCATCTGCATCACGACATTCTGTTCTGGCTGAGTCTTTGGGTTTCCTGGATATCAGAATGCAAGACTGTCGGGCAGAATTGTTAGCCTCCACAGTGACCAACATTGGGCCTTTTCTCGAAGATGAATTCAGTGCTGACGGTCAGCCGATGCAGTTACACATGAGCAACGTCACCGTCGTTCTGAAGGTTGGTTGTTGACACTGTCTAAATTTGGGGCCAACTCATTTTGAATTTGCTCATTATTAGTAGTTAGTTGAGGTACAATTTACATTTTAGTTGAAATAGCTTTCATAACTATTGGGTGTCTTTTTGTCCCAAAAAACAGACCTTTGAGGACTGTCCACTGAACTGAAAGACCTCAGCCACTGTTTGATTGCTAGTTTTGATATGTGTGTCTGTGCAAGGCAGTAGTGACACAAACTGGATCATCTTGTTAATTAAATGCAAGTTGAATTGAATCTTTGGACAGGCTAACTTCTTAGAGTAAAAGGCATGGAGCGGTAATGAGCTGCCAGTGCTGAGGTACATGTGATGTGTTAGGATCCCTTCCTTTTTTTTTCTCAAGGATGATAGTCCTAGAATCTACCCTACAGCCCCTCAACCTGTCCCCGTCACATTCATTGTGGACCAGCTTCTCCTTGAGCGCAGTGACGATGGCATTTTGAGGCTCAGAGGTGGGCAAGAAAAGTTTTTTGTCTTTAATTTTCTGTACTATGACAAATGTGATGCTAGTCAGTATTGTGCATACACCCAGTTATCAGCATGACCATGAAGCATAAAAACCACAGATATTCCTAACACATGTACAGAAAGTGATCCTTTCCATTTCCTTTTTTCATTGCAGCTGAAGGTACAAACCCTAAAGCCCCAGCAGGTGTTCCTGTGGCTGGCTCAAACACCACAAACTGTTCCTGCCCTCTTCAGCAGCAGAGTGAGGTAGGGGAGACCTAACACAACTGTAGACTGCATATGCTTCAGCTTAGTGTATCTGCAGCCAGGGCAATAGACAGGATTTCATAAATACTGTTGCCATTGGTTTGAGAATGAGTTGATGTAGTCACTGATCATTATCCTGCTGACCATTTCTGCACCCAAAGAGAACATTATATATAGAAACAGATTGCAAAATCATCCCCCGTAATATAAGGATGTCATTTCAGTGTTAGCTACAGATCTCTCTGGCAGTTTAAGGATCCAACAAAAGGACCTCTTTGTTAGCTGTTAACAACCATGTATCAGTCTTAAAGCTGTGTGTGGTTCTGTTTTTCACAAAGCTTGAAGTTTGGTGGTCTGTTTAATTTTGGATGGCCACATGAACATTCAAATTGTAGCAGGTTTTCCTCGTGTTTTAAATCCAGCATAAATCCATTTATCCACTGTTTGAAATACAGTTGTAATGCTGGTCTCCTGTTTCTGGTCATCTGTAAGAAAGACAATGCAGTGCAGTACACAGGACTGACTGTGCAATGGTATTGTAATTACACCAGTTACTGTCAGTCAGAATCTGATATCCATCCCCTTGGCATGTAGCCTTTAGACAAAATGCTTTAGCTGTAGTTGGACCTAACTCATCTGATAATCCTACCATTACAGAGACAGACCCTTGAGTTACAGCTTTCTGATGCCCAGGCTGCCCTCACCCAAGCCCTCAGTGACAGAGATCACCTCCTTCTGGAAGTCAGGAAATATGACCCCACGTTTACTCTCTGAGCCGTCCTGTCTGTCACCTCTGGTCCTGCTGAGGAACTGTGATCCATTGTATCAGGATGTCTGGACATTGGACATGTCATGAAAAGAAGATGAATCCAGTGTGCGGTTTTGGATCACTCTCCACCTCCTATATGATGCCATTCATGAGATTACAGGAGTCCTTTTAACAACTGCAAAAGGGGAACCTAATTTATAGGTATGTCACTGGTACTACATTTTTATCGGGCAGTGCAGCTCTTCCTCACTGCTGTACTCACAAATATTTCCTGTTAGTTCCCTTTCAGGGTAGACATTGAACCCATTGTGTGGTTTGAGTGTTGGACACACAGCATGCAAGGGTGAATATCATTAAGCTTTAATTCTCTCCAGTTAATTATTGCCGTTACGGAGTACATTTAGCGATGAAGTGCTAAAGCTAAATAGACTTGAAAATGTAGAATATTTGTTACGTGTAAAATACAATAGATCCACGTGTTTCTGTTTTCAAAGTATTAGAAAATACTATCTGCTGTTACTTGTTGAAAGCATGTTGTCAAAGGTAGGAAGCATTGCACTTTTTTTTTTTTTTTTTAAGTAAAAGCAGAAGTACTCTACTGCCGTAGAGAGACGGATGCATCATTACCTTGATTGTGTTACCTGGTTACACACACTAATGAAGTTCTCAGCATGGGTTGAATCATTTTCTAGTGATAGATTATTCTTTGGGTGGTGACGTGTCAATCATGCTTCTTTTTGTACTGTGAAACAATGTGGTTGAATGTGTACTTAAACATGAAGCCTTTCCGTCTCTTCCTCAGCTGTGGAGAGCAGCTTGCACAGTAGCTTCAGTACTGAGATGGAGTTAGATTTTTCACCCTGACTCTGGTTTTAAACAGGTTTGGTTTATTATACCAGTTATCAGATGATACTTGATCTCCTTAAAGCTTGTTTTGAAGCTTGGCAGGAAACAGACTGCTAGTATTACAACATACTTTGTACACTTTTATCATGTGCAGTGGTCATACATTATGAAGTTGAAAACTTATTCTGTATGTTGTTACTTGTATATTTATTATTTAGATTTATTAAGAATGTTCTTTTTGTTAGATCACATTGACTGCAGTGTACTAAAGCCATAAGAATCAAAAAGTGACTTAAAAAAAGTTATGTTAGGAGATATTACTAATTCACTACAAAAATAGGTACTTTCAGTAATTGAATCCTTGTCTCCAGCAGAGTTTGTCTATCAGACCAGTTACCTGTTTAAATTCCTGTCCCTTCATCTATGCAGTAATGTGTTTGTGTAACATACATTTTATGAATATTTTCATGAAAACAACCTCTGTCAGCTATATTTTATGAACAGATGTTCCATTGTTAAATCAATGGCCTTTGGAAGCACAAGTTATCCACAGTAGTGTTTGCTAAACTGTTATCAAACCCTTCTCTTCCACTTATCATTGTTCTGCTGTGTACTAGGGAGACCTCTGGTGGCTGTGACTTGCTAGAAGATCCCCCTTTCAAAATGTTACTTGCCATCTTTTTCTTTCATTTTTTTTAAATCTTTGGTTGCCTTGTAACGTATGACTGACATATTTGTATTCTTAAAGTGGGATGTAAAACATGAAAGTTTGGTTTAACCAAAAACATGACAAAACAGTGACACCACATTTTTGATGTGTAGTTCTTCAATTCTGAAGATGACTCATGGCAAAGAAAAATGATGTACCTATCAGGTTTTAATATTTTCTCACCAATTGCATGTGGACACACCCTTAATTTGTTAGTGTAGTAAAGCAGAGATACTGCCTTTAACCTTTTAAGTATCACTTCTGGTTGTAATTTCATCTCAGCTTTTGATTTTTTTGTCTGGTCTTGGTATGAACACTTCACTGAATGCCCCATGCTGGAAGCAACATGTAGCTGTAAAGTTTGCCCAGTGTCCCTCTCCTCAGCCAGGCCTGTGTTAAGTAGCATCCCTATTCTACTGACAAACTAGTGCTCTGGAGTTCCATCTGATCAAAGCATGTTACACCACACCAGGTTTCAGTGAACCCTTACTCAGTGTGTCATGCAAAAAAGGAGATGGATGGAGTGAAGGAGGACTCACTGGATGCATGTACTGAAGTGATGTATACAGTAATTTATGCCCTGCACTTGTGTGGTAAATTCACTGGAAGTTACACTTGTTGTAATGTAAAAGACTTCATAGGGTTGCAGAGGATGTCTTGTGAAATCTGGCTAAGTGATGAAAATGTTGAAGACCCAATGGGCAGTATTTTTTACTAGCTGTGTGGAATTGCATGGAATTTTATATTGTCTTTATCACTTCGGTGAGACCAATATAAAATTGGTTCCGTGAACCAAGTGGAGAATATTTAACAAAAAAAAAAGAATAAATTGCTTAACACATTTCAGTTGTGCCTTTGTGTTTTAATAGAAAATGCATGTTTACGTGGAGCAAGAAAAAGGCAGCTTTTAAAATGTACAGAATCTTCAAATTCTCATTTTGGTTATTTTACTAGCATGTCTACAGTTTGTCTTCAGCCTCAGTAAAAACAAGTATATATTTCTGAGATGAGCTGAACGATAAGAAAAAGTAATTTTGTCTGGAAAAGGGTTCCATTATCAGTACACCTACTCCAATCTTTTCTCCTCTTGATAAAAGCAGCCACATCATGAGATTCAAAGATTAATGTAATAAGAGCAACTATTTTTTTTGTGATTTTATACTATGTAACAGCATCTAAATATGTTTGAAATGTCAATTTAAAATCAAAATGAATAAGCTGTGTGCTTGTATGGCTGTAAAAATAAAGTTAATATTTGTAATTTTAGGTGACAATGGCGACTGCATGGCGGTCGGGGACAGTGCCTCTGGACTGGCAGACCGGGGTAGTGGTCCCTCTTTTCAAGAAGGGGGACTGGAGGGTGTGTTCCACCTATAGGGGGATCACACTCCTCAGCCTCCCCGGGAAAGTCTATGCCAGGGTACTGGAGAGGAGAATTCGACCGATAGTCGAACCTCGGATTCAGGAGGAACAATGCGG